CCCATATACAAAAAAAGGAACCCACAGCAGTGGAGAGCTAGTGACCTAAATACCAAAGATTGACAAAGCTTGCAAAATACAAACATAAAGCGTCAGGTGCCCAAATACTCCAACAATTGAAGACAAAACATCCCCGCCTATCTCAACTAGAGGGCACGCGAACTAGAGGGCACGCGAGCTTTATAGAACTGCTTCCTCAACCTTTTATGATTTTTGACAGCCATAGCACACTCCATTGGACAAGATTGCCATTCGAAAAAAGAAAAAACACAGCCATTAACTTTGGATTTTATCCATATAAATGTTTTAACTTGCATCCTTTCCAGCAGGTTTTTTGGTACTCCTTCATCTTTTCGAAAGACTTGGATATTCCGTCTATACCATAAATACCAGGCAACCACTAGGAAGATACAAGAACCCATCTCCTTTCCAATTATGCTTCCTAAATTACCAATGAAAAACTCTGCCATGCCCCTTACTGTGTTAGGCAAAACAGATTCCAAACCCCACCAACTCAACACCTGAGTCCAAGCTAACCATGCATTATAACATAAACAAAATAAATGGTTAACTTTCTCCTCCTTCCCATTACAAAATTCACAAAGAACCCCCTCCTGTAGCAGTATCCCACGTTTTTGCAAGTTTTCCTTTGTTGGGAGTCTATCTAAACACAAGCGCCATCCAAAAAAAGCCACTTTGGATGGCACCAATCTGCACCTTATTAATTTGCATAGCTGGTCCTCCAAAACACTCTCCGTAGAAGCTAGGAAATCATACGCTAGCTTCACCCCATATTTGCCATCTACCCCATGAATCCACTTCCAAACATCCCCTGCCCCCTCCTTTAGATTGACACCCTCCAGCATCTTCTCCAACATCTCCTCCTCATCTTTCTCTCGCCCTAATGTACCCCTCCTCCACTCCAGCTGCCAACGCCATCTCCCCTCTTCCCAAGACCCCATTTCGGACACCTTTCCTTCTTTCTTTACAGATAGTGCAAATAACCTTGGAAATAAATCTCTAAGACTTTTTACACCCATCCACCTATCAAACCAAAAAGCCACTCTATTTCCTTCTCCCACTTCCCACTTGAAACCCTCAACCAACATATTTCTAAGATTGAGGGAGAGGCCCTCTATCCTAATAATGTCCCTCCAAATCTTTGACACCTTGAACCACTCAACCGAAGTAATATCGACCTCCCTCCTGCCCCCATAATATTTCTCCCTCACCACCCTTTTCCATAAGCTCTCGACCCCGTCACCTAACCTATACCACCATTTTCCTAACATTGCCCAGTTTTTTCTTTGTAAATCAGGCACCCCAAGACCCCCCTTTGCCTTAGCTTGGCATACATGATCCCATTTAACCCAAGAAATTTTCTTATTTAATTCTGCCCCTCCCCATAAGAAACACCTTTGGATTCTAGTCAACTCCACAAGCACAGAATTAGGTAATGAATATAGAGACATATAAAAAATAGGAAGTGCAGAGAGTACCGAATTTAGCAAGACGAGGCGGCCTCCAAAAGAAAGAGTAGCGGCCTTCCAGACAGCGAGTTTGGTACGGAATTTATTTACAACCAGCTCCCATAATTTCTTGTTCCCAGATTTTCCGTCAACGGGCAATCCCAGATAAAGAAAAGGTGGTCGGCCAACCCTGCAGTGTAACATACCCGCTGATGCTTTTATCCATTTCTCCGACACATTATAACCAAAAATACTGCTCTTGCTGAAATTAATTCTCAATCCCGACATAAGCTCGAACCATTTTAGGATGTCCTTCACCGTACGTATATTCTCAGCATCCGCTCTGCCCATAATAACTGTATCATCAGCAAACTGGAGCAACGACACGGACAAACCTTTCTTTCCAATCTCAATCCCATGCATCATTTCCTCCTTTATAGCTCTCTGTACCAGACCTTGTAACCCCTCTGCGATCATCAAGAAGAGAAAAGGAGATAGAGGATCATCTTGTCTCAAGCCTTTACCCACCTCAAATTCCTTTGTCGGGCTTCCGTTTACCAGAACCGAGATTCTCGCCGTTGAAAGGCATTCCATAATCCAACCTCTCCACTTCATTCCAAATCCAAAACTCTCCATCATCCAATCCAAAAAAGACCAATCTACGCAGTCATATGCCTTTTCGAAGTCTGCTTTAAAAACAAAAGCTGGCTGTTTCTTTTTCTTAATCTCATCCACAACTTCATTCAGCACCAGGACACTATCCACCAACTGACGGCCCCCCACAAAGGCAGATTGCGTTTCACTTACTATTTCTGATATTACAGACTTCAATCTATTAGCCAGCACCTTCGCTAATAATTTATAGACACATCCTATCAAGCTAATGGGTCTATAATCCTTTAGTTCTACAGCATTCAACTTTTTAGGGATCATGGCTATAAAAGAAGAATTAAGACCCCTCACCAATTTGCCATTACGATGGAATTCAGAAAAAAAGTTGATGAAGTCCTCCTTTATACAGTGCCACCCATATTTAAGGAAGTTGAAGTTGTAACCATCAGGTCCTGGTGCCTTTGAACCTTCACAGCTCCTTAAGCCTTCCTCAATTTCTTCAACTGAAAATGGTCTTTCCAGCCAATCTTTTTTCTCCTTGCATAACTGCTGGAAATTAATATTCCCAGGCTTGGGTTTATTCCATGACTCTCCTTGAAACAAGCTTCTAAAATATCTGACTATCTCATTTTTTACTAAATCTGGCTCATCAGTCCATGCTCCATCACACATTAATCCCGCAATATTGTTTTGTGCTCTTCTACCTTTTGCGACTCTATGGAAAAAATGAGTATTTGCATCTCCCTCATGCACCCATTTACTCCTTGATTTCTGCTTCCATATCAGTTCTTTTTTTCTCAAAACATCCCACATCTCAGAAAAACCTTCTTGCCTTTTCACAATCTCAGCCTCTTCCAGATCAGATATCT